TATTGCTTGTCACCGCCAATAATGCTAGAAAGCCCTACCACAGCCCCTGTCAGGGGGAACAGGGACCTTGTTAGATGCAGTTGGCTCCACCTCCTCAGCAGGCTCTTCGCCCAGGAGCAGTCAACAGGCAGACACTTTGCAGGGCAGCATTTGAGTCATCAAAGTACCTCTTAAAGTCTCTCGCTTATTCTGCACAGACCTACGCATAGACTAGCTTATCCTTTTACAAAGAAAAAAAAAACAAGAAAACAGCAATATCTCTGTAAGCTTAAAGTGCATCTAGAATATAGTAGCATAAATTAACTTTTTAGAGAAATTTACCCTTAGACACACTTCCTTTAGTTAGAAATAATTAGGCTATAGTATACACTATTATAAAAGCTTTATGTTTCTTTTTTTATTGACTTAGAAGTTGAGGATTTGAAGTTGGTGGTGTGGGGACATAAGTGACTTAAGAGGAGGTGGGTCAGTACTTCGAGATAGTCTGAGATGCTAAGGTTTGACCCACAAAGTGTCTGCCTGTTAACCGCTACCCTTTGCCCCATCAACTTCCACGATTACGCCCACCGATTGGCCACTAGTGTAGAGCTCAAAGAGTGTGTTATTGGTCAGGGCCATGAAGATCCATGTGAATAGAATCATGGTCACCGTGATAGCCCCTACAAGCGCATATACAGCCCATGGGCGTCCAGCGGCCCAACTGAGAACACTAGCAAAGGCGTATAGCGCCAGTGTCCCAAGGGAAAGGCTAGGAAGCACGCAGTAGCTATAATGGTAGAGGTGGACCTATTGGTGGAAGAGCTGAGGGGATGTGCCTGTTGTGTCAAGGAGGACAGGGACAGCCACTAACGAGAGGCTTATTATGGCACCTAGGTAGTTATTAGACAAGGGAAAGAAGGGGGTAAGATATAGGGGGTATTTCACCAGAGAGAAACAAGCCAGTGAGTACAGCTACAGTATTAATGGTGACAAGTTGTTTGTTTCTAATAGCTTTTGTTTGTTCAAAGACTAATAGGATTATGTAAATCAAATTTGAGGCGTTCTGTCTAGAGACTTGGGCCAGTGGAGTTTCGTTAAGACATGTCTATCTTATAATTTGTCTTTAGTGACGCTTTTATGTTGACCCTGTAGGATCCAAGCCCGAGCTGGAGGTTGAGAAACAGAACTCGGACCTTTGCAGTGTGGCAATCTGCCCTGTTCATTTCTTTGCGTGCGCAGGATCTCTCACGAGGACGAAGAACACTTGCTGAGTCTGCGACCCTCAAAGGATTCAAAATAACCACTCTTGTTTCTTTTGCCTGTTGCGAAGTGCGTTAAGACAGCAAAGCTGGCAGAAAGCTTGTGTGTTTATTTACGGTATTATATACCTTGATTCCGTGGTTATAAATATCCAGCTTAATTAGAATAATCTAACCTAAATAGTTTTCTTTTAGCTTAATAAATAATAATATGTCTGTTGGCATTAAACGAGCGTATAGGATCTTTAATAATAACATGACCAACATGATTGGATCTTAAAATCTTGTCATTCTGCGATTTACACTAATGAAACAAGATGTACCTAGTTGTAACACTCCTGAAGCTACCCCTTGAGAGCACCTAAAGTCAGATACTCCAAAAACAAACTACTATTTACTGTAATATCAAGCTCCCTACAAAACATCTCAGTAATGACTAGACTCATGAGGCTGTCCACGCCAACGTCCCTAAGCCTTGTATTATTGCTTAAGTCTGCAACATCAATGCCTGTCTGGCTAGCAATGATAAGTGTTGCTTTGGCTACAATGCTGCTGGGGTCTTTGGAAGCCGGCGGCGTACTTTCTGACCCTTGGTCTGTTTCCGTCGCGGGAGTCTCACCCCTTACTGCTTTGCTCACGGATGAGGTGATGCTTGAAGGCCTGGACGATGAGTTGATGGACAGGGCGGCTAAAGTAGAGCCTGGGCTTTGCGTTCCGCCTAATAAGGCCTGCTTATTGCAAGTAGCAGTTGATGACGCTGGGCAAGGGGAATTTTCCTTTAGCGAAGAGTGTCTCTGTAATAAGGCAACCGATTTGGCGGTAATGTTGACGGAATCTGGGGGAGAGAAGAAACGACTGAGAAGGATTCTCAGATACCGCCGAAATTGAATGCCCCCAACTACGCCAATGATCTCCCCCTCTCTCATGATGTACATGTCCCTGAAGAAGACACCATCGTCATCCTGAGACGGAATCATCTTGATATACGATTGATACTGCTCCCTGGCCATGAGCGGCCTTGCCAGGAGCATAGACTGCCAGCTGGGCGTAACGCAGAAATGATTCACTGTGTTGTGGGCATTGGTGACGTTTATCACGAACCTGGCCAGGTGAGCGACGCTATTGATGAAGTAGGGAGGCACAGTCCAGACGCTGCCCCCCTCCTCCGTGGTAAGCCGGACGTCTGCAAAGGCCTTGAACTCGTGCATGACGACCGAGTGTATTCTGCGGTACTTGTCCGTGTAGTTAACGAGGCTTGAGGCGAAGAGACTGTAGGCCATTTTGCGAGAGAACTGCGTGGCTTGGCCCTTTTGCGCCATGTCTTGCAGGGTCTCTATGCGGCTTTTGACAAGGTGTGTGATGGCAGCCCAGGATCTAAGCCATTCATAGGCATTACTGCAGAGCACGGTGGCTGTGGTAAAGGGCTCTGACTCCGTTATTGCGCCGTTGCTGCCCACATTGTGCCATTCTACCCTGATACTGTCGTTAATGTTGCTGGTGCTTGCGGTGACGTGGATGAGCTGTGGTTGTGAAGTGTTGATCTGCGCAACGAGGCCTTTTGCGACTTTCAAGTTGGCGATGTTGAGATGTTCGTACTTGACGGGACTTTCTAGTTTTTTATCATGTACTCGCCGAGCGTGTAAGCGATATCTGCGTGTATGGACTAGTTAAACATGGGTTTAGTATCAGGGACATAATAGGGGAGGGGTAACTTAGGCTTAAGGGGATGACAGGACTTACTGAGGTGACCACGCTGCATCTGTTTATGCTGTGGCCGTGAGCTGCGGCAAAAAAGTCCGCAGACATGAGATCAGACTGCATTGTTACGGTACCGGACGTGCCGTAAAACTCCTTGCGGATGATGGCCTGGACAAGCGAAGTCCGGAAAGACGATACCACTGGCGACAGCGGCGCTACTCTGGTTTGCCTCGCATCCTCGTAGAACATGTTGCCTTTAGTGAGAGCCTAACTCCCGTTATACTGAATCCAGTAGTTCTTGTTGTTCCAGCTGTACGTAGGTAAGTCCAGGAGCCTCAGTCGGCTCTTAAACGGGCGATGGAATTCGTTCCATTGAACCTCAAGACCAGCAGAATGTAACGTAGCAAGACTCTTGGCAAGGGTAGTCCAGTTGTCTTCTCTACGTCTGAGGGAAGAAACAGTAACGCAAGATGGGCCGAGAGTCGCCTTCAAGAAGCTGGTGTTTACCGAATGGGGTCCCATCTTGATCCAGAACATGTCTTTGTTGATGACCCTAATCTCTAGAGCCTTTCTGACGGCCCTGAGAAAGTCACAGGTCTCTCTTGTTGCCTTTTGCAGATATGTGCTGTCCATAGTCTTGCTATTGTATATAATGCTGGCGAGAAGTGGCGAAATAACGGGGATTCTGGGTTTGCGAAAGATGACGCCTTCTTGGGCAAGAGTTTCAAAGTCTTGGAGGGCGGGGTCGGTTTGTGCAGAGTGAAAAGCGAACGGCACGTCGATCGTGGCGCAGTGATGACCCTTGCTACTGAGAGCTGCTCTCACGGCGTCCAGCTTGTGCCAAGTACCCCTGAGAACCGTGGACTTGGGACTGTTGATGTAGGCAATCTTATAAGGAAGGTCTCCTGCCGCATCTTTAATATTGTCCACAGCTGCTCGCATGGCCAGCATGCTGTGGCTCCCAGCCTGGCATTTCTCTTGTAGCATCTCTGCCTGCTTGTCTGCGAGGCAGATGGCGTCGCTTGCTGAGATGACGCCTGCAATGCAGAGAGCTGCGTATTCGCCTAAACTGTGGCCAAGGACAACATCTGGCCTGACCCCTAGAGACTCCTAGTACTTGGCAAGCGCGATTTCCTGGCAGGTGAGCGCAATTTGTGTGATAACTGCGCTCTGGTTGTGATCCTTGTTATGGCTGCCGTCAATTGTCGAGATGAAGGACGGGAAGCCAAGCTGCTTTGCCAGGGCGTTGAGCGTGAGCATCTGAGAGCGGAATACGGGGGAGTGGTGGAACAGCTGTAAGTTTGAAGACTTGTATGATGCGCCCTGGCTGGTAAAGGTGAAAGCGACGGAGGGGACGAGACTGCTTGAGACTGGACGGTGGGAGTCGATCTGCTGCTTCAGGCTCGTGAGTAGCTGTGCCTGAAGCCTGGCAACGTCTGCAGCGTGGAACGTGAGCCTGTGGTTGTAATGTTGACGGTGGGCAGTGGTGGTGTAAGCCAAGTCTGCTAGGCTCACTGCAGGGTGTTTCTCAAGGTACAAAAGCAGGCGCTCAATGTTGCCTTTCAATGAAGGTTTGCTCTTTGCTGAGATGACGGCGATATGGGTCGGCCGGGGGTCTGCCTCTGTTGTTGATCGGCCGGGGCTGGTCGCGGTACCTTCTTCTAGCAGAAGTGATGTGTTGCCGCCGGCTGCGCTGAAGCTGTTCACCATTGCGAGGCGCTTGCGATCTGGCATCCTGGGCCACGAAGTTGCCTCCAAGGGAACGCGTAAGTTTTGTTGGTCCATGTGCGCAGGGAGTTTAGGGTTGAGAGCTGTCTTGATTCCCATGTGTGGTGGTATTATGTCTTGTCTAAACATGAGCAGCACCTTCAACAAAGCCGTAGCTCCGGCTACAGCTTTACTGTGGCCTACATTGGACTTCACGGCTCCAATATGAAGTGGCTGCTTTAAGGGTTGACGCTTCGTCGAGAGAGGTGCGAAGACGTCAGTGAGGGACGTGAGTTCTTGGATGTCGCCAGCCTGCGTGCCGGTACTGTGCGCTTTGATGTAGCTCACGTCGATAGTATCTACCCTGGCCCTCTCCAGCACCTTTCGATAATGAAAAGCCTGTGAGTATGCGTGGGGATGTGTGATCGACACGGCATTGGCGGAGTGGTTTGTTGCGGCGGAAAGGATGATTCCTAGGATGTTATCGTTATTCTTTTCGGTGTCTTCCAGTTGCTTCATCACGAAGGAGACGACTCCATCGGCGCGACAGTAGCTGTCTGCGCCAATGTCCCATGTCTTACAAGCATTGGGCGTCTTGGTGAGGAAATGCTCTTTGCTGAGGCTGGCGAAGGCGTCCGAGTTGGTGAGGATGTTCATGCCGCCGGCCACGACAGTATTGACCTCGCCATTCCAGAGAGCCGTACAGGCAGCCTAGACGAATACTTGTGAGTATGTTGAAGAAGATAAAAATACGCAAGGGAATGGGTGCAGACCTGGATAGTCGCCAGGCTTGAAGAACGGGCTGTGTTGCAGCTAAAACTTGGCCCTGAGAACTTGAGGAAGTAATTGATGTGGCCTGGGCCAAAAGCGCGGCAGCTAATACGTATAAAATACGTGCTAATCTCCTGAGCTGTGTTGACCTCTTGATAATCATCACTAGCCTGCCTGTACCACGTTCCAACGCGGCATGGGAAGAGTCGGTACGGCCAGCAACAAAGCCAGCCCTTTCAAGGGCTTCAAAGGCAGTCACGAGAGCCAATCGCTGCATTGGGTCCGTCTGTTCCGCTTCCCTTGGAGAAATGTTGAAGAATCTGGCGTCGAAGAAGCCTGGATCATCGACGAAGCAGCTGTACTGCGTATGGCTGGCGTTGACCTTCTTATGTTCAGCGTCGTAGTGCGACTCCATGTCAAAGCGGCTCGGCGGTATCACACGATGCACGTTGAGCCCCTTTTCAAGAAGACCCCATAACGTATCCGTGTCTATGGCGCCCCCTGGCAGTCTGCAAGATATGCCCATAATTGCAATCTTAGAGTCTTGAGAGGACCTAAACTTGTGCCTGTAAAACGGCAATGATGACTATGTGTCTGTGATGCTTGTTAATATATCCATGACGTTGACAGATATCTCTACTCCTCCCCTGTCTAAAGCTGTTTGGAGGTCCTGGGCTGGCAAAGAAGTGCCAAAGACTATTAGTTTGATTACTTGAGACTGTTCCTTGCCAAGATTCCCAGACGCATTGTCAATGACCCTGTCCTAGACAATTTGACGGGTAAGTATCTTGAAGACGACGTCTTTGAAAAGCTGGTTGGCGCTTCCTCTGAGGAATGGGGCACCAGTACTAGGTGCCAGAACGGGCACTAGCGAGAAGAGCTCTTCTCCTAGACCAGAAGAGCCAACGACTTGAGCAGCATCTTGTTGAGTGTACACGTGAGGTGCGTGGCAAAGGCCTCCATATATAGGCAGCGGGATGTACTCTTGACTTCTAAAGAAGGCTGAAGTATGGAAGAGTTCTTTGATCCGCGACGGAGGCCTGCTCACAGTGACTGATGTCCTGCCTTTTGCGCTGACGAAGACCTTGGCTGCTTTGGGAGTTTGCTGTTGATTTTTAGTTTAAGTCTTCTTTAATCATAGTGGGTGAGATGGGCCAGACTGCAGTGTACCTGTCGACAATAAATGTTGTCTAGCTCTTGCTGGACTTTGTTGGGGGTAGCACCGTGAACGACATATGCCTATGAGTCGAAAGTGCCCTCCTCACCCAAGGTCTCCAGAGTCTGAGAGACTCCAGTCACTAAGGAACCCAGGCGAAAGGCGATACGAATTACCTCTGAACCTGTCAAAGGGAGGACTTCCAATGTTTGTGCAAGTGAGACGGCCGTGGAGGCGAGAAGGCTAAGACCTAGACCTGCGAGTAAAGTATTGTCGGAAGAGTTAAACCAGGTCGGCGTAGTCTTGTAGTACCTAAGTTCTTACAATTAACTATAGGTTTTTTTCTATGTGTGTATTGTTAAAAGAACCAACTGGATGAACAATCCTATTTATATGGCATATAAGAGCACGCCGTCGATGCAGCTGGACAACACGCCACGCTGCAGTGTGCTGTCTGCTGCTAAGCTCTGAACTGACTCAAAATGAGGAACCAGCTGTCTGGGGTCAAGAGGGAGCTTTTCAACCTTGTCATGAACGACTGCAGTTGCTTCTTTGAGAAAGTGGGCAAGATGGGGATGTCTTTTGTCTTTGCTGTAGAGGTGTAACTGCTGTAACAGTGTCTGTGGATCTCCCTGAGGGAACTTGTTGGAAAAATAAATCATACGAAAGTGTCTTTCTATCACGATAGCTGTGCCGGAACAAGTTACACTGAAGCTTCAGGAATGATTTTTTGTGTCTTTGAATGTTGCAGTGCCGGAACAGGTCTGTCTATGGAGAGGTTCTTTGGTTTAATTGAGGCTCCTTTTGACATTTGTCTCCAGCACTACTCTGTAGTCTACATAGACAGACACTGTTCCATAACGTGTCTTCCAGCCTGGCTGATGATGCTATACTCTGATGGATGGCTTACGGGTTTTACTAACCCTTGTTTGTGGGGCAAGGGGCGTCCGAATGTTTCTTGCACCTGAACTCCGGTGGCCCCGGAAGCCGAGCCAAGCCGTTGCCTAAGCCTGACGATAAGCCTATATGCAAGACCATGGCACAGGATACTTGATACCAAGCTTCTTATTATCATCTGACAGATTCCGTATGCCCCTTATCGAGAATTCGCAACTACTTGCGGCGAGAGCGGTATATGGCACCGATATCTTGTGACAGGTAATCCAATCGCGTTGCCTGTCGTGCCTCATAGCGTGTGCCTCGAACAAACAGCTCTTATTTTCTTCAGATGCTGTATTCAAATCTGTGCAACATGGGCGAAGGAGGTTACAGGCAAATCAACAAAGGGCTCAACGTTTCTGTCTTCGACAGCTACCTTGAGACACAGCAGGCGCAACTGCCAAAGCTCGAAAACGTCCAACAGCTGAGCCCCAGGGTGATACGCATACTCGGGCAAAATCCTGGCAAGGTATGTCAACAAGACCTCCATCCAACTCTATGGCTCAGACGAGTATACCCAACAGTCACTGACATTCATGGCCGCTCTCAGTTCACGCTCCAGGGCACAAACACGTACATCGTCGGCACCGGCAACAAGAGGCTCATCATAGACACCGGCCAAGGAATACGCGAGTGGGCGCACTTGGTCGAAGCCACCCTTGGCAAGCATGGCATTGGCCTATCGCACATAATGCTTACACACTGGCATGGCGACCACACCGGCGGAGTGCCAGACCTGCTTCGAATGTTCCCAGATCTCTCGGATCGCGTATTCAAGCACAGCCCCTCCGAGGGGCAGAGGCCAATCGCGGACGGAGAGACGTTCAGCGTTGAAGGTGCCACTGTATCGGCCGTCCACGGACAAGGCCACTCGCACGATCACGTCTGCTTCGTCCTTGAAGAGGAGAACGCCATGTTCACGGGCGACAACGTCCTTGGCCATGGGACGAGCGCTGTGGAGCACCTCGGCATTTACATGCAGACCCTCGAGAAGTTGAAGGCAAAGGGCTGCATGGTGGGTTATCCTGCTCATGGCGACATTATCGTCGATCTGGGGGCAAAGATCACGCAGGAGCTTTCCGCCAAGACACGCCGCGAGCAAAGATGTATAGATGCTTTAAGCAAGTTGAAGAGGGAGAGGGGTGGGGGGGCAGGGGGCTTGGCCAGCGCCACGGTAAAGGAACTTGTGCTTGCTATGCATAGTAGTCAGCTCGACGAAGTGATAAGATTGTTGTTGTTGTTGTTGTTGTTGTTATATTTAACGCCTAGTGTGTTCCTGAGAAGGACAAAGGGCGCCTAGGGTAGCTAGCTTTAGGTAAATATATATAATGGCTCTGCAAAGAAAAACCCTACTAAAGGCCTATTATATCCACTAAGTATTAATCTATCTATTGTTAACCTTACCTAGGAAATTTAAACTATAGATATTACTATTACTATTAAGTGGCTAAGGGCTCTTTAGCTACTAAGTATTACTAAACTTTTTTTCTTTTTTTTTCTTATAGTAAGATTAAGAGATTCTATATATCTTACTATATAGTGCTATTTATATATCTAAATTTATTACTAGTATTTATTTTACTAGTATTACTAATATTATACTTAAAGTATAGTGTTATAATAGGATTTATAGTAATATATCACAGGACAATAGGTAATTACCCTAAAGTCCTAGGTAGACCTAGCAAGTTAAAGGAATATTATTCCTAATATAGTTTAGTAAGCGTTTTACCTAGCAGGGCCAGATAAACATAACATTAAAAAGGTACTAACCCCTTAGCAAAAAGCTAGTAATAGCTAGGTTAAGAATTAGCTTTTAAATAATATAGGACCTATGTTTTAATTATTACTTCTCTTTACTAGTGCTATTATAATTCTAATTCTTTTTATTTATTTTTTATCTTATATAATAAAAGCTATTAAGTTAATACTATATATGCCTAGAAATAGTAGTAATAGCTAGGCGTAAAGTAGCCTAAGCGCTATATTAAGCTTAATCCCTTAAGCTGTCCTTAAGTATATTTAGGTGCTTAAGAGATAAGTTAAAGTAGTAACTATAAAAAATTTAGAAGTTTTATAACTAAAAAAATTAATTACCTAAGTAATAAA